AGGAGGAGGAGGAGGAGGAGGAGGAGGAGGAGAAGTTTTATACCCTCACATTCCCTTCCTCTTCCTACAACAAACACCCTGTGAGGCAGGTGGGTCTGAGAGAGTTCTGAGAGAACTGCTCTTGAGAGAAAAGTGACTGGCCCAAGGTCACCAGCAGGCTTCATGTGGAGGAGGAGTAGGAAATCAAACCCAGTTCTCCAGATTAGAGTCTGCTGCTCTTAACCACTGCACCACGCTGGTTCTCCATGCCACACTCAAAGGCCAGCTCTCTCTCTTTCTCTCTCTCTCTGTTTTACTCACTCTGAGGCTCAAAAGTTGTCAAGATTGGCTGCACCCTACTGACTGCGACTCCAGTGAGGGACTTCACGCCTTTCTCTGCTCCGTTGCACACCGACTGAAGGCAGGAGTTCTTCCTTTTGATGGAGGTGTAGTTTGCAGAAACCAAGTCGCAGATGGAGGTAACCAACGGAAGGCTGCCGACTCTCTTTAAGACATTCTGATTTTTAAAAAAAAGCAAGGAAAGAATCGCATCAACCAAATATTTGCTGTCTGGTTAAGTTGCAGCGTTGACACTGGAGCGGAAATACCTGCTCAGTCTATCTTTCGCAGCCAAATGAGAGGCAGAGGGGGAAATCCTTCTTTTAAAGGTCTTCATGGCTGGGACCCAGGTGCCTGAAGGACCACCTCTCTTTGTATGGATGAATGAACGATTGTATGAATGAATGAACGAACACACACACTGGCTAAGATCACAGCAGCAGGTCTGTCTTGCTGTGCCAAGTGAGGACACTGGGAGCCAAAAGCAGGATATGCCATGGTGCAGTGTTCCTTCTAAGCTGAGTTACTGCGAGCTAGCTCACAGTTTTTTAGCCTCCGGCTCACACATTTTTGTCTTAGCTCAGGAAGGATGGCTCCAGAGCAAACTAATTTTTGCAGTGGCTACGTTGCTGGCTCACAACTTTAATGCCCGTAGCTCACTAAGCAGAATTTTTGCTCACAAGACTCCACAGCTTAGAGGGAGCATTGCCTGTGAGGTGGGTGGGGCTGAGAGAACTCTGGCACAAACTGCTCTTTTTCAAGGACAGCTGTGCCAGAGCTTGTGACTGACCCGAGGTCACATCAGCAGGTGCAAGTGGAGGAGTGGGGAATCAAACCCGGTTCTCCCAGATTAGAGTCCGCGCACTTAACCGCTACACCAAACTGGAGAGGGGCTGTGGCTCAGTGGTAGAGCATGTGTTTGGCATGCAGAAGGTCCCAGGTTCAAACCCTGGCATCTCCAGTGGAAAGGATCAGGTAGGAGGTGATGTGAAAGACCTCTGCCTGAGACCCTGGACTACTGAGTAGAAAATACTGACTTTGAGGACTGAGGGTCTGATTCTGTGTAAGGCTGCTTCGTGGGTTCATGTTCTTCCAGAAAATGTTCAGAACGCGAAACCTTTTGAATTCCAGAAAAAGCTGTAACACATCCCTTTTTGCAGGGGGATGTTTAAGAAACTAGGTTTTCTAGGTTGTATTCTAGAGATGTATACAAAGGTGTTCCTTTGGATGTGTGTTTCTTGCTTTTATCTTTACTACTAAACTGGTTGGAGACTGCTGAAAAGCAGCACAGAAATATTTCAAATGGGGGGGGGAAGAATCCACATGTATTGTGAATTGATTTGCTGTCTTGATTCAGTCATAATGCAAAACCGGAGTTTAGCTGTAACTATGGCTGTGATCACACACAGAATTAGCCATGCCATAGGCGTGAATGCCGGGAGGATTTTAAGGTTGCGATCAGACGCAAGCATCTGGGAAGCGTCCTGCACCCGTGGGCAACTCGTTTTGCTCTGCCGCATAAATGGAGTAAAAAAACACTAGGGAAAGTCCGGTAGCAAACGGGTTTGCTACAGGCCAGGAATGGACTTTCCCTGTGTGATTGCGCCAGTGCGCTCTCCTCATGGCGTCGGGATGGTCGGATCGGGCCATCCTGACTCCATGCCGTTGTTTTTCCCCCCATTTCAGTATGTGCATCATCACATTAGGGAGCACTCAGTGTGGAGATGTGGATCATTGATCCCCCGTTGAAGTGCACCGGAAACACGCGGCAACCCCCCCCCCCGATTCGGCCACACAACTGTGGGTCAAATTACTCCGGAGCAAATAGCCTCACTTCCCCGCCGCGTTATCTTGCGCGTGTGACCGCCACCTATGATGAGTTTGTGAGCCTGGGATTAATTTGCTGAGGATCATTTCAATCCTGATTTGCTTCGACAAATGTTGGTTTCATCACTCCGTTTCATGCCTCCATACCCACGGAGGGCCCCTCGGCCCTTCCACGGCTTCACTGACAAGACATTAAGACTCAATAAGTGCTGAAGGTGAAATAAGAGATTAAAAATTCATTTTCTTCCAGGCCACCCCCCAGGCCAGACCCCACAACTATATTATAAACTTTAAATATATATATACCCTTTGTGGTACCCCACTTCCCTGGCTGCCCTAAGCACGTGCTCATTTTGCTTAATGGTTAATCCAGGGCTGCCCAGAAGATTTTCTTAAGGATTTGTATGCCCAGCATTTCATAGGATTCCTCTTCTTCAGCTTCTCAGCATGTTATGTTGACACGGATGAAGACAGGAAGCTCAGTTTGGGCAGGGATGTGTCAGATAGTTTTTGGCTGTGAAAGGCCTACCCAACAAACACAACAAAGCCAATCAACTCCCAGGGGGAAACAGAGCATACAAAGAAGCTTCCTTACCTCATCTTGAAGGCTTTCTTCAGAGGTCTCAGAGGACGTGGTGGTTGGTTCTGGGGTGGACATGGTGGCTTTGCTGGTAACTGGAAGGGAAGAAAGAGGAAGATGGCGGCTTAATGACCACAAATGGGCCCACTGTAATTATCACACCACTCTTCCAGGGAACTTAGAGTAAGGTATATGCTTCTCTCCTCCTCCCTTTTATCCTCACGGCAACTCTGTGAGCTATTAGGCTGAGAGAGAATAGCCCACAGTCACACAATCAGGGCCCTGCGGGACCTCTTACAGTTCCACAGGGCCTGCAAAACGGAGCTCTTCCACCAGGCCTTTGATTAGGAGCCGCTTCCAGCAACCGAACTGTGGTAAGGCCCTCCATACCATCACCAGCAGCCTGTGACAGTTTCTATAAATGGTCTGACAAGCTGCTTACCAACTCGGACTGTACTCTTTTGTGACCATTCCACCATGGCCTACTGGGATTTCTATGTAAGACCACAGTGCCACTAGCACTTTATTTAGTTATTGTGTATTTTTATGATGTTTACAATTTGTGTTTTAATGTATTTTAACTTTTAATGTAAGCCGCCCTGAGCCTGCCTTGGCGGGTAGGGCGGGATATAAATTGAATTAATTAATTAATTAATTAGTTTTATCACTGAACAGGGATATGAACTGAGACACACACGGACCCGGCCTAGTTGAGCTCTACGCCAAATGGGTTCTCTTCCTCCGTGGCAAAAACAGACATTGAAATCCTTGCTGGGTTGTATCCAGATTCTTTTTAAATTCTTTATGTGATTCTTTTTAAAATACTGTCATCTTCAAGCACAAAAAAGAGTGAACAAAAATAATGAACACAATGGCAGTTTCTTAATCAGAGGAAGAAGAAAAACAGACAGAAAGGGCAGATAAAAGTGTGTGTGTTATGTCTGTGTGGTGTGTGTATGCTGGGGAGGCTTTTATCTAAGAACATGTCATCTGGCATTCTTTGTGATTCGCAAACATCACATGAAGAAACATTTAATCGGCTTATGGGAGAGGCCTGCTTCTGAAAACATGCTGAAATGTGGCCATTGAACCAAACAGGTCTCAGATAAGAGGCTGATGTTGTTGTGTAATTAGGCAAAAATAACTTTTCTAGTGCTACTGTGACGCATGGATTCTACCTTTCTTCCCTCTGAATGATGAAAGGGGAAACACAGCTTTTCCATGGCAACACATGCAATCACCCTGGCAAAGCAAATTATTCTGAAGAATGAAAAATCTCATCCCTAATTAAAAACAGTCTAGTAATCAACTCTTGCCAGATTCGTATTATTTGCCGCAAAAAAACCCTTTCCCTTTTTCTCTTCCCTTCAACCTTCCATCCTGTGGGTAAAGTGCCACCAAGGTGCAGATAATTTATGGTGACCCCTGAAGCAGGGCCGGCTCACCCACTAGGCAAACTAGGCATTAGCCTAGAGCGCCGGGTTCTGGATGGGGCGCCAAGCTGTGCCTCCCCCCCTCCTCCCCCACATTGGTGGCGGGGTGGGGAGGAGGCGGTGGTGGCAGCAGCAAAAGGGTGGCTGGCTCCAGAGGGCTCCAGGTCTCCAGGCCCCACCGGGAGGTTGGCATCTGCGCCATAAAGCAGCCTCGCCTAGGGCACAGAAACACCTCAAGCCGGCCCTGCCCTGAAGGGTTTTCAAGGCAAGAGACATTCAGAAGTGGTTAACTATTACCTGCCTGCGTACTGCGTACAGCAACCCTGGACTTCATGGTCTCCCATCCAAACACTAACCACGGCTGACCCTGCTTAGCTTCTAAGAACTGATGAGATTGGGCTAGCCTGGGCAATCTAGGGTCTTTTCTGCAATTGCCTGCCACTCTGGATTTTCTCAGAGTTTGAGTCGAGGCAATTTAAGTCCACAGCAAAACAGCATCCAAATAACCCCGGGGCAACAGCGGGCTGAAACCGGACTGACCACTGGAGGGAGGGAATGAAATGCAGAAGGGGGGGTGGAATAAAAAGATGGTTGAATTCGATTTTTAGTGCAGAATTGCTCGGAGGACACCGCGGTGAACATGGATTAAAAGGAGAGCACAGAAAGGACTTTGGATGCTGTTTTGCTACAGATGTAAATTGCCTCGACTTAAACACTGAGAAACTCCGGAGTGGCTGGCAAATGTGGAAAGGACCCTAGGTCACAGTACTTTCCATCCTAGGTGCTGTTTATTCTATGGCCCATTCCGCATCTAGCTTTCGCTCCGGAGTTTTACCAAACCCACACTGGGACAGAAAAAGATGCAGCTCAAAACCACATCCAGATACCCTGGGCCAACATCGTACTGACTGCCGAGTCACCCCTGAATGGCCATAAAACGGCCATAAATCTATGCAGATGGTACTATAAAACTGAGAGATCAAACAAAGTGAAAGGCGGCATGTGGTCTGGAGCCTGCCATAAAATCCGACAATCAATCAAAGTGAAAGTGGCATGCCGTGCAGAGGGGAATTTCTGTTCCAGCCCTGGGTTTGGTAAAACAGCGGAGCGAATGCTAGACGCAGAAGGGGCCGATCTCTTTCTTTTTCAGGACACAGAAGGACTGCTGTCCAGGGTCCTGACCAATGCTCCTTCTATGCTGTGGAGTATTGTGAGCAAAAATTCTACTCTGCGAGCTACTGGATGAAAGTTGTGAGTGAGCAATTTGGCTCCTGCATAAATTAGTTTGCTCTGGAGCCGTCCTTCCTGAGCTAAGGCAAAAATGTGTGAGCCAGAGGCTAAAAAACTGTGAGCTAGCTCACACTAACTCAGCTTAGAGGGAACACTGGTCCTGACCGAACCAAAAAGGAGGCTGGGACGTCTGTCCTTTTAAAAATAATTTGGCAGCTCATGGTAATCAGAAACCCCTCTTCCCCTTGGTTTTTGGTTGTTCCCAGCTCCTTTTACACTTCACCCTAGCTAAGGGCAAACCCCTTTGTTATATCACTGCAGCACCTGATCATATTACCTTTGGTAGGGTAGCACCAAGCTTGGAATTATAGGAGGTTATTTGAATAAATCCATTTGTCTTACTCTTCCCACTGACAGCTCGCTATGTTAACATTCTGGGCATTCCCCATCAGCAGTGGGCTACATCAGCCCTTTGAAAGATTCCTCTAGACAGTGGGACGTTTCAGAACTTCTTCCTCTGGGCGAATGAGTTTAGGTAAGATACATCTGTTTCACGATTGACGAAAACATTCCTGGGGAAATGAAGCAGTGGCAAACCATGGCACTCCCATTGTGTCTTCAGATGGTAAACCATGAGGTAGGAAGCAATGTCGGCCAATCACATTGTATATGCAAATTAGTTCCATTGTGACTCCTTGTCAAACATCGTACCTCTAAGATGTCAAGCCTACCCACACTTGCTTGGCTGGAAGTCCCATTGAATTTAGCGGGAGTTATTTCTGAATAAGCGCATATAGGATCACAGGCTGTTAAGTGTAGGGTTACTGACTCCAGGCTGGGAAATTCCTGGAGATTTGGGAGGTAAAGCCTGGAGAAAGTTGCATTTGGTTGTGGAGGGAGCTCAGCAGAGGATAATGCATTGATTCTACCCTCTGAAGCTGCCGTTTCCTCTAGAAGAGCTGGTTTCTGTAGTCTGGAGATCAGTTGTAATTCTGGGAGACCTCCAGGCCCCACCTGGAGGATGGCAACCCTATGTAAGCAAGAAAACATTTTCCTATCGCAGCAGAGAAATGTAGTATTTCCTTTCAACATTTAGTTTTTTCCCTGCATGGTTTTCTTTTGTTTAGGGGGTTTTGAGGCAACTGATGGCTGTATAATTAAACAGTATCTAGCCACTGAGCGAATGTAAGAAGAGCCCTGCTGGATCAGACCAGTGGTCCATCCAGTCCAGCATCCTGTTTCACACAGCGGCCAACAAGTTGCCCTGGAGGGCCAGCAGACAGCATAGACACCCTCCCCTGATTCTGTCTCCTAGCATTTGTAAAAAATTAGATTTTTTTAATTGTCGGAGCTTTAATAAAGGTCACAAGCAATGCCTCATGCCTAATTATATTGTTGGGATCATGAGTCACCTATTTACAAGAGAGAGAAAAGGAGGGAGTTAGTTAATATTCTCTTCAGACACACCACTACAACCACCACAGAACTGAGGCCTGTAGAGATGTGTCTATACATATTTTTTCATTATTGGATCCAACATTCAGTCTGTGCCTCTGAGTCTTTGCTAGATTCTTTGTCCAAAACCTTATTTATATAACATGTGATAGTTTATGAAAAGCCTTATTCAATTTATTAAAAAACCAAACAGCCTTGTTCAATTAATAAACAAAATATAACACATTCATGAGGATCAGCAAACAATGAATTTTAATCTGGTGCTTATGTGTACATCCGCCACCACTGTTATATTTTCGTCTTTATGTATATCTCATTCCCCCTTTTCAATCTTATTTAGTTGCTGGGTTTTAAGCTTTTCCCCTTGTTCTTTTTTCTGGGGTTTTTTTTTTTTTTTTGAAGGAATGAAATTTCAAAAAAGAATTTTAATCTGCTGCTTTTATGGGAGTCAGGAAGGACCAATTCTGTGAAGAAAATTGTCTTAATTTAATAGATTAATTGTGATATTTCTCCTCAAATAGTAACAAGCCTAAGGTGAAGATTGCAGACTGCTCATTGTTCATCAAGCGATTCATCCTTTTCTCTATGTTGTTTTTACAGTCTAGGTCCCGCAGCTATACAGGTCTCTTAGGCATCCCTTCTAGAATTTCTTAAAGGACTGCTTAAGGAGGAGGGGGAATTATGGGAAGATGGCTGCCAGCATGTAAAATCCAGACTGTTTGTCTCTTTTCTGTGGCAGCTATTTTAACTTTGGGCGTGGCTGGTGGGATGAGCCAAAGGTTTCTGTTAATCTTAGCCCGTGCCCTTAATGGACATATCTGGTGAAATCCAACTTATGTTTTGTGTGCCTTTGGAGTTCTCTTCGTTCTTTGTACTGTTTTTGTTTATTTACATTTTTTTCAACTGTATTGTAAACTGTATTGTTATATAATCCGGAGACAACGTTGATTATGTACCTCGGTTCAAGGATTTTCTTATGATTTGTTTATCATGTTGTAGTGCTTCAGATTGCAATACATAGATAGCATTCTTTATAAGTCTTAATGGCTGTTTGATTTGTGGGTCAGACTATCACGACTGTTGGCTTTATACTTGTTTACTGATCAGGTCGTGTTTGTCCAGATTTATTTTGTACATTTCTAAACCACTTTGAGTCCAACTGGGAGGAAAGCAGTATAAAAATACACTAAATAAATAAAATAATTACTATTTACTGAACAGGATAGATTTAGGGCGGTAGCTGTGTTGGTCTGAAGCAGCAGAACGAGGTTCGAGTCCAGTGGCACCTTTAAGATATTTGAAGAAGTGTTAGAACAAATTTAGAGTCTGGTGGCACCTTTAAGACCAACAAAGTTTTATTC